TGACCTTTAACCTTTCTGTTGCACCCTAATGCGGGTGTGCCAGGCCGGGAAGCTCCCTCTGAGCTCTGAGTCGGCTGCAGGCAGTGGATTCGAGAGACCCAGGTTCTCATCATAGTTTTCATCAAAAGCCTGCGTTTATTAACAGGTCTGTGGCTTCTCCTTCATTTATTAGCTGGAACGTTTCTTGCTGAACTTGGTTTCCACAAGATAAAGTTGTACAGACAGACAGAATGGGCTGGGTGCAGTGGCTCAAGCCTAGCGCTCTGGGAGGCCGAGGTGGGCAGATCGCTCAAGGTCGGGAGTTCGAAACCAGCCTGAGCAAGAGCGAGACCCCTGTCTCTACTAAAATAGAAAGAAATTAATTGGCCAAATAAAAATATATAGAAATAATTAGCCGGGCATGGTGGCGCATGCCTGTAGTCCTTGCAACTCAGGAGGCTGAGGCAGGAAGATCGCTTGAGCCTAGGAGTTGAAGGCTGCTGTGAGCTAAGCTGAGGCCACGGCACTCTAGCCCCGGCAACGGAGTGAGGCTCTGTCTCAAAAAAAAAAAAAAAAATCTATTTGTATAAATTTTACCATTTCTTCTTTGTCCAGATGTGTATCCGTTTCTTCTCATTTTCAAATTTACTAGCGAAAGTTGTTCCCATTGTTCTTTTTGTAAAACCCGATGTATGGGGATTATTTAACCATTCTCAGTGGCGTTCTGCTTACCTATATCTTGCTTCCTTTAAAGCTCAGATTATAGAGATTTGCCTGTTGGCTTCTGCCAGGTGGCAGCTCCCACCTTGCTCCCTCCTGTTACGTTGTTCTCCCTCCTTCTCATCCCTGGGCTTCCTGGTGGGCCGGTCTTTCCGGCTTCCGCCTGTGGGTGCTCACCTCCCTCTCAGCCTCTCTGTCCAGCTCTGCGAGTTCCTAGGGTCCCGGCTCCGGGTCCCTCCCGAGGTTCCGGTCAGGATGTTGCCAGGGGCTGCATCTGCTGCGGGCGGGAGGGGGCTGGAGACCCGCTTCCCCCAAACACGCTCCGTGGCTGCTGGCGGCCGGGCCTGGCCTGGCACCTGGTTCCACGCAGGAGGGGTGTGACGACAGAGAGAGAGAGGGGTGTCACCCTCCCTTCCGTGACCCGGCCCCCAGCCCCACGCCATCGGTGCCACCTGTCCCCTCCACCACAAGCAAGTCGCCGTGTCTCCGATGTTCCCACGCACGGCTCTGTCTGCGGTCCTCACACCGTCACTCTCCCTGCACAAACAGTTGCCCATAGGAGGTGGTCACCCGTGCCAGCAAGTTTCTGCACCCCCGAGCCTGCGGGCTGGATAGGGGCTCCCAGAGACGGGGAACTGGGGCGATGGCACCGGGGACCCGCTACCCAGGGGGGCCTGCTTGGCCTGCGGAGGAGCTGGGGGAGGGGCAGGTGGCAGGAGCTGCAGGCGGGGAGCCGGCGGGCACCCCCTCTTCTGCCTGGAAGGGCCTCTGCCTCCCCCTGTGCGGCTGCCTGAGCCCCTCAGCCGCCCGCCTGGGGGACGGGTCGCAGCAGTGATGCCCAGCGGCGGCAGGAGGAACAACGCTGGGCGCGTCCCCCGTCCTGTCCCGTCCTGAGCGCAGGTGTCACAGGTCCCCGAGTCACAGTCGGGACACCGTCATGCTCGAAGGCCGTCTTTGCTTCTCTGAGGTCCAAGGGTCACCGGGCATCCCGTGTTCCGTGTGTCAGCCCTCCCGCCCAGTGACGGTCGGGAAGGCCTGGAGCACATGCGTGTTATCCCGGGAGCGGGAACCGCCCTCCACGGGAAGAACCGGCCACGTGTCGGTGGGAGAAGCTCCCAGGATCCGCGGTCTCGGTCAGCTCTCGGAATCCTCCAGCCCAGCCCTGCACGGCCAGGACGCTGCACTGAGCGCCAGCCGGGTCCCAGCAACTGCAGACGCAGCCAGGACCTCCTGAGGGGGACAGGCGGGCTGTCCCCAGGCAGGAGTGGCTTCAGAAGACGGCTCAGCCCAGGAGGCTCCCTCTGGGCTCCTCAGGCCTCAGGCAGGAGGGCCAGGCGGCTGCACCCTCGCTGCTGTGGACACAGGAGCCGCGTCACCCACCTGACAGCACATTCCAGAAAAGCACAGTGACAACAGCGGACCCAGGAAACCAAGGCAGAGGAGAGCCTGGCCCCGTGGCACAAACAGGAAGCAGGAAGTGACCGGTTGCCAGCCTCACACCTGACCCTGGGCAGGGGTATAAAAGGGCCTGGGCACAGGAGGCTCCACACCTGCACCTCCTCCCACCTGCTCCACCCACCTGCTCCTCCCACCTGCTCCTCTCTCCACCCACCAGAACCATGGGCTGCTGTGGCTGTTCCGGGGGCTGCGGCTCCGGCTGTGGGGGCTGCGGCTCCGGCTGTGGGGGCTGCAGCTCAGGCTGTGGGGGCTGTGGTTCCGGCTGTGGGGGCTGCGGCTCCGGCTGCTGTGTCCCTGTCTGCTGCTGCAAGCCCGTGTGCTGCTGTGTGCCAGCCTGTTCCTGCTCCAGCTGTGGCAAGGGGGGCTGTGGGTCATCTTGCTGCCAGTCCAGCTGTTGCAAGCCCTGCTGCTCCCAGTCCAGCTGCTGCCAGTCCAGCTGTTGCAAGCCCTGCTGCTCCCAGTCCAGTTGCTGCCAGTCCACCTGCTGCAAGCCCTGCTGCTCCCAGTCCAGTTGCTGTGTCCCCGTGTGCTGCCAGTGCAAGATCTGAGGCTCTCCCCAGGCCCCAGGTGGCCCCCACTCATGCAGGGGCCAGGGCATCTCTGTCCTTGCCCAGGGCTGGTGCTGGTCCTCCGTCACTCCCTGGTGTCCTCTCCAGGCGGCAGCTCCTGAAGCTCGTCGTCCTGATGGGGTGAGCCCAGGGCTGCCTCCTCCTGGCTGGCCGCCCCCTGGCTCATTCACCCCTTCTCCTCCTGAACCCCCTCCCTGCTCTCCTCACTGGACACCGGAACTGGCCCTCAGAGGCCTTGGTGGCACTCCGACCCTGAGCCCCCGAGAGCTGCCTCTTCTTTCAGGAGTTTGGCCACCCTTCCTCTCTGGGTGTGGGGACCTGACCCTGGACCCCCTAAATAAACACTGTGCATAGCGTAAGCCCGGCCTGTGTTCTTTCCTTCCCGCCTCACTAACCCCCAAAGCCCCTCTTGCCGCCCCACCCCGGGCTGTTCAGATTTCTGTCTCCACCGAGTCCCCGGCCACCCCCACGTCCTCACCCACAGAACTGGCGTCTGGAGTTTTCCAGAGCCTGGTCCCACCTGGGGGAAGGGGTTCCCCCGCCCCAGCCCCTCTAACCTTCCTGTGCCCCAAGGGGTAGAAGCGACACCACTGGGAAACAGTCGTGAAGGTCACGGTCCCGGGACACAGGGCACTGAAACGCTGAGATCTAAGCAAAGGATTGTAGAACCCTCCCCTCCCCACTCTGCCAGGACCTGGACTGGGCTCAGGTCTGAGTGGGATTTATTCCAGGCAGGCACAGCTGGTTTAGCTGCAAAAATGGGATGGGCGCGGTGGCTCACGCCTGTAACCCTAGCACCCTGGGAGGCCCAGGCAGGCAAATTGCTCGAGGTCAGGAGTTTGAAACAAGCCTGAGCAAGAGCGAGACCCTGTCTCTACTATAAATAGAAAGAAATTAATTGGCAAACTAAAAATATATAGAAAAAATTAGCCGGGCGTGGTGGTGCATGCCTGTAGTCCCAGCTACTCAGGAGGCTGAGGCAGGAGGATTGCTTGAGCCCAGGAGTTTGAGGTTCCTGTGAGCTAGGCTGACGCCACGGCACTCACTCTAGCCTGGGCAACACAGTGAGACTCTGTCTCAAAAAAAAAAAAATGCAAAAATGAAATAATGTGGTCCACAAACAAACAGATTACAGAACAAACGTCATCTGAGCACGCTGTCAATGCAGAAAAGCACCTGTTGATGGTAACGTTCCCAGCAGCCCAGGGCCACGGGGAGCCTTTCCCCAGCTTGAGAAGAACATCCGTGAAAACACACACAACAGCTCACGTCGCAATTAACCGTGAAAAACTAGGTGCCTTCTCCCTAAGACCGAGCACAGAACAAACACGCCCTCTTGCTGTTCCCACTCAAGTCGTCCCGGAAGTCCCGGCTCGTGGAATGAGCTTCGAAAACAGAAATAAAAGATATAGCAAATCAGAAGGAAGAAATAAAACTGTCTTTTTTTTGTTGATGACATGATTATCTATGTAGATAGATTCCCCAAAATTGGCTAAAATAACCCACCTCCTCCAGGAACTAAGAATCGATGAGTTCACTAATAAGTGAAGCAAGGTCACAGGAAACAGGTTTATATCTGAGAATCAATTGCTCTGCAATATGCCAAAGTTAGTGGAGGAAGAAACTAACTCTGTAAAACAAGTTAAAGAGGTTTATTCTGAGCTGAGCTGAGGGACTGGGGTCCGGGGAACCGTGTCCAAGAAGCCTTGAGTAAGTGGCCGGAGGCGGGCGGGTCACAGTCTGGTTTTATACATTTCGGGGGGACGGGAATAGCAGCTAAAATCAGTAGTCAACGTGGGGAAGGTGCACACTGGCTTGACACCAAAGGTGGGACATTTCAAAGTGGGGGCTTTCATCCTAGACCAAAGATAAAGCACAAAACTATAAAACTGCATAAGCAAAAGGAGAAACCCTGGGTGACCTTAGGCCTAGCAATGCGTGTTTAGATACAAACCACGGAGGCGCCCAATCGTTGAGTGAGGCTTTACGAAAGTTAGGAACTTCGGCTCTGCACGAGAGGGTGGCGAGGACGGAAGGACACCGGTGACCTGGGGGACGATCACAGAGCGCGTGTCTGGGAAGGGCGCACACCCCCGGCATCCAAAGAGCTCTGGCAGCCCAACAATCCGAACACAGACAACCCGACTGCATAGACGGGCAGAAGAGCGGAACAGACACCTCCCCAGGCGGGACACACAGACACACGGACGAGCGGTAGAAGCGGCCCCGCGTCACGCACGGCTGAGGAATGTCACATTAGAACGAGACGCGCGGTCACCGCCGGCCTGCGGGAAGGGCCGAAATGCGCGGCCCCGACAGCGGCCGGCGTGGCGAGGACGCGCAGCGGCGGGCGCGCGCGCCGTGGGCGGGAGCGCGCAATGGCACAGCGCCTGCGGGAGGTGCGGGGCGGCGTCGCGCGGGCGGCGCGTTCTCACCACGCGGTGCAGCCGCCGCGCCTCGGCCCCTGCCCGGCTCGCCCGGAGACTTCGTGCCCCCCAGAGCCGCACGGGCACGGTCGCGTCCGACGGCGACTTCATCCCGGATCACCCAGCCCTGGACGCAGCCACCTTGGCCGTCGGCGGGCGGGCGGGTCCGCGGACTGCGGTTCCCTGGACGCCGCGAAGGGAACATGCGCTGCGGGTCTCGGGGCGACTGGGGCGCAGCGCAGACGCGCCTCGTGCGGGAAAGAAGCCGGGCTGTGAGCGCCGCGATGTGCGCCACCCGCGTCCGTGCGACGTTGAGGGCGGCAAAGCTGCGGAGGGACAGGCGGGGGCTGCCGAGCGCTCACGGGGGCAGCGGGGGGAAGCGCAGGACTTCAGGTGCTGACACGTCCCGCACGACACAGCGGTGACGTGTGTGTGACACCGCGCTCTGTCACCCGCAGTGCGTCACAGCGCAAGGAGCGAAACTTGGTGTTTGCAGATGTTAGAAAAACCCGTTTAGCAGGTCAAGGTTCCAGGACGGAACGCAGAAAGAGCGTGACAAAACCGACCCGCTGCTCCCGTGGATAAAACGTCCACAGTGAAGGGCGCAGTGGGCGGGCGTGTCCGCAGCGGGAGGAGGAGCCGGGGCCTGAGCGCCTGGCTGGGTCGGTGCTGCGGCCCGTGGTGGGGCGCGGTGGAACCAGGCAGGGAGCACGGGGTGGCCTGAGCAGCCGCGGTCCCAGAAAGACGTGTTCACACCCGCTCTCTCACACTCACACCCGCGCACACCATGCACACTCACTCACACCCATGCACACCAACACACACCCACTCACATCTCACAGCCGCTAACTCACACCCGTTCATACCCACCCACACCCATGCACAGCCACGCACACCCGCTCACACCCATGCACACCAGCTCATTCACACACTCATCCACACCCACTCACATCTGCTCACACCCGCTCACTCACACCCGTTCACACCCGCTCACACTCATGCCACACCAGTTCACACCCATGCTCACTCACACACCCATCCACACCCACTCACATCTGCTCACACCTGCTCTCTCACACACCCGCTCACACCCATGCACACCCACTCACATATGCTCACACCTGCTCTCTCACACACCCGCTCACACCCATGCACACCCACTCACATCCATGCACACCAGCTCACATCTGCTCACACCCACTCACACACACCCATGCTCACTCACCCCCATATACACCCACGCACACACCCCTGCTCACACCCATGCACACCTGCTCACACCCGCTCACACACACACACACTTACACTCACCCCCATATACACCCATGCACACACACCTGGTCACTCACACCTACTCATGCCCACTCGCACTCACTCCCATATAGACCAACTCACACCCACGCACAGGGAAACACAACCACTCACTCCTACTCACACCTATACACACATATACACCCACTCACATTCACGCACACCTGCTCTCTCCCGTGCTCACTCGCTCACACCCACTCACTCCTGCTCACACCCACACACCCTAACACAATCACACTCTCACACCCACACACCCTAACACACCCTCACACTCTCACACTCACACCTACACACCCTAACACAATCACACACTCTCACACCCACACACATGCACTCACGCAGACACATCCTCACACACACGCACACATGCACTCACTCTCTTACACACATGCACACCTGTGCCCACACATGGATGGAAACATACCACAGGAGCCAAAGGGAAGAGCTCCCAGTGCCCAAAAATGAAACAATTCAATCAACAAAATAAAGCATTATTGGATTCTCACCCAAGGTGTAAAATAAATATCCCTGAGTCCAAACTGGTACAAATAAGTGATTGAGCAGAGAAATGAATCGGAGAGGACAGACCTCCCGTCCGCACCCCAGTAATTGAGGATGCTCTGCCCTTGGGGAAGAGGAGCTGCACCCTGCGGGACGTCCCCCCGCAGAGCACAGCGCGGAGGAGGAGGCTGAGCGAGGCCTGACAGCCGAGAATCCACGCATGACCTTGGCCAGGAGGTCAAGGTCACCATCAGCAGTGGCGAGTGGTGTCCCTCGAGTGGACCCTGCAGAGGGTGTGATGGGAGGGGCCGGTCACCACTGGGGTGGGAAACCTCCCGGGGAAGGGGCATCCTACACGATACTGCTCAGTCCTCCCCAAACTGCCACCGTCACCGAAACAAGACGAGCCTGAGACCCCGTCACCCCCAGGAGGGGCCTGAGCACACAGGGCCACGGAGAGGCCCAGGGGTGGTCTGCTGGGTCCCAGTGCAGAAAAGGAGCGGGAAACGCCATGAAACGCTTCCGGACGTGTGGACCACGGCGGGCAGCGATGCCTTGGTGTCCGTCTCTCCGTGTAGCATGGGCACCCACGTCTCCCAGGTCTCAGCAACAGTGGAAACTGGGTGTGCGGCACGTGGGAACCTTCTTTGTGATTTCTCCGTAAATCTGAAACTGCTCCAATGCAAGAAGTTTATCAGCAAAATTAATTTTTTTTTTTTTTTGAGACAGACTCTCGCTTTGTCGCCCAGGCTAGAGTGAATGCCGTGGCGTCAGCCTAGCTCACAGCAACCTCAATCTCCTGGGCTCAAGCAATCCTACTGCCTCAGCCTCCTGAGTATCTGGGACTACAGGCATGGGCCACCATGCCCGGCTAATTTTTTTCTATATATATTAGTTGGCCAATTAATTTCTTTCTATTTATAGTAGAGACGGGGTCTCACTCTTGCTCAGGCTGGTTTCGAACTCCTGACCTAGAGCAATCTGCCCGCCTCGGCCTCCCAGAGTGCTAGGATTACAGGCGTGAACCTCTGCGCCCGGCCTAAAATGATTTATTTTTTTAAAAAGCACTGCCTGCTGTCTTAGGCGCCATGGAAACCAGGAGGGAGACTACACAGGTGTCTGCCTCCATCGCTGTTTCAGAGACGCTCTGGTCTCAGCCCGACTACAAAATAAAAGTGGCCGTCGCACAGATGAGAGGGAAGAAAGGGCCGGGCGCGGCGGCTCACGCCTGTAATCCTAGCACTCTGGGAGGCCGAGGCAGGAGGATCACTCAAGGTCAGGAGTTCGAAACCAGCCTAATCAAGACCCCGTCTCTACTAAAAATAGAGAGAAATTAATTGACCAACTAAAAATATATAGAGAAAAAAATGAGCCAGGCATGGTGGCGCATGCCTGTAGTCCCAGCTACCCGGGAGGCTGAGGCAGGAGGATTGCTTGAGCCCAGGAGTTTGAGGTTGCTGTGAGCTAGGCTGACGCCACAGCACTCACTCTAGCCTGGGCAAGAAAGCAAGACTCTGTCTCAAAAAATAAAAATAAATAAAATACCATAAACGGCCCCCGCAACGTTGCATCTGAGGAAAGGGCCTGGTCAGACGCCACCAGAAACCGCCCACGCTCTCCCCTTCGACCAGAGAGGCTGAGACCGCTTGGGTTACAGCAACTGAAGATGAAATTGCTGAAATTATAACCAACACCTAATAAATAAATCTGTAGCAAAGTGAGACAAAAAAAGAAAAAAAGTCTTATGATCAAACGCGATATCTCGTTAATCAATTATGATTTATCGTATTATGTAAAATTGACTCCAAAGTTATTGCGATGATCCTGGTTGTGCAATTTGTCAGTTTGCACTGTCCGCTGGGGACCACTATTGCATGGGACATGGGACAAAGTGGTTTCCAAGGGGAAGAGCGTTCAGCGCAGTCCTGGCTGCCTTCCGAGCACGGACTGGCAGGACGTGTGTGCCGGCGTCCCTCCGCCCTGCAGCCTGGGCTCCGCCCCTCCAGGTCTGTCCCACCTGAGCCTAACCGCAGCCCCACCTGCCCACCCTGCCGCCTGGTGTCAGGGCTCCTCCCTCAGCCCAGCAGCGTCCATATGTCCCCACTCCCCCGTGCTCCCGGCTCTCAGCTTCTCTGTCCTCCACCCACGGGGCGCTACAGGGCACCTCAGTCGAGTCTGCCTCGGTCTCCCCCAAACATCCACTCGAGAGAAATCTCTAGTACATATGCCTCGGAGCTTGGGTGTAGCCACTGCACAGGTAACCAAAAGATAAAAATAAAGAAAGAAGAAAATGATGAAATGTCTGAATCAGTTGGGATTAGGCTCAACTGTACATAGCAGAAAAAAAACGTTGCCATGGCTGAACCTGCCGGCTTTATTCCACCAGGACCGAGGCGGCACGGAGGTGGCCGGCCAGGCAGAATGACCACTGCACACAGGGCAGCAGAGGAGGGGTCGGGGAAATGAAGGCAGAAATCTGCGCATCCCAGAGCAAATGTGAAGACTGATACATAACCGGGGAGTTGTTGCTTTGTTGTTCTGAAAAATAAACTTAGGAGAGGCTCTCGCCTATAATCCCAGCACTCTGGGAGGCCGAGGCGGGAGGATCGCTTGAGGTCAGCAGTTCCAGACCAGCCTGAGCAAGAGTGAGACCCCGTCTCTACAAAACATAGAAATGTCTTCCAGATGGCACAGCTCATATAGAAAGGAAATGTGATAGGTGTGTCCCCAAATTTGATGATAATGCTAAAAGTTCTCCTAGTTATCCATAGTAAGTTATGAAATTAAAACAACCGGGGCTTCGGCCGGGCGCGGTGGCTCACACCTGTAGTCCTAGCACTCTGGGAGGCCGAGGCGGGCGGATCGATCGAGGTCAGAAGTTCGAAACCAGCCTGAGCAAGAGCGAGACCCCTTCTCTACTAAAAATAGAAAAAAATTAACTGACCAACTAAAAAAATATATACAAAAAAAATTAGCCGGGCATGGTGGCACGTGCCTGTAGTCCCAGCTACTCAGGAGGCTGAGGCAGGAGGATCGCTTGAGCCCAGGAGTTGGAGGTTGCTGTGAGCTAGGCTGACGCCACGGCACTCACTCTAGCCTGGGCAACAAAGTGGGACTCTGTCTCAAAAAAATAAATAAATAAATAATAAATAAGTAAATAAAACAGGAAATGTTTTCTGGCAGAAAACAGAGAAGCTGGGATAGGCACCCGGATCAGTCAGACACAGGTAGCCCAAGATGATCGGCTCCAAGAGACAGGAAGAGACTTCTTGAAGTTGGAGCTGTCCACACAGGACAAGCAGAGGCTCTGGTAGAATGTGCTGGATTAAAGCCAACAGGAGTGCTCACTTCAGTAGCACATATATTAAAATTGGAATGATACAGGGGAAAAAAAAAACCAACAGGAGCCCATGGACTCTAGAAACACAAACAAGACGTGGCTGCAAAGAAATGGCTCAAACAGGAACCAGGAAATGATCATGTGCCAGCCTCACGCCTGACTCTGTGCAGGGGTATAAAGAGCCCGGGCTCAGGAGGCTCCACACCTGCACCCTCCTCCCACCTGCTCCTCCCACTTGCTCCTCCCACCTGCTCCTCCCTCAACCCACCAGAACCATGGGCTGCTGTGGCTGTTCCGGGGGCTGCGGCTCCGGCTGTGGGGGCTGCGGCTCCGGCTGCTGTGTCCCTGTCTGCTGCTGCAAGCCCGTGTGCTGCTGTGTGCCAACCTGTCCCTGCTCCAGCTGTGGCAAAGGGGGCTGTGGGTCCTGTAGGGGCTCCAAGAGGGGCTGTGGGTCCTGTGGGGGCTCCAAGGGGGGCTGTGGATCATCTTGCTGCCAGTCCAGCTGCTGCAAGCCCTGCGGCTGCCAGTCCAGCTGTTGCAAGCCCTGCTGCTCCCAGTCCAGCTGTTGCCAGTCCAGCTGTTGCAAGCCCTGCTGCTCCCAGTCCAACTGCTGCCAGTCCAGCTGCTGCAAGCCCTGCTGCTGCCAGTCCAGCTGCTGTGTCCCTGTCTGCTGCCAGTGCAAGATCTGAGGCTCTAAGCATAGACCCCAAGTGGCTCCAGCAGAAGACTGGGACCTCTTGAAAGTGACAGTGCCTCCTATCAGGGTCCCAAAGTGCGGTCTGGCCCTCTCCCTTCCAGAACAGATGCCCAAACTCACAGCCCCAGCATGCGTCCCCCACACCCTCAAGGAGAAGAGGGACCTCCTGGTGCACGTTCTGGAGCCCCTGCCCCATTTGCTTTGGGGATGAGAAATCCCCCCCAAAATGTTCCCTCGACAATCACAGTCCCTTGAGGACTGACCCCCAAAGCTCAGTGTCACACCCATGGCCCTAGGTCAACCCCATGAGGCCTGTGTCCCATGCTGCACCCTCCATGTCCCTGCATACCCTGGCACCTCCTTCCCTAGCGAGTCCAGACTGGACCCGGTGACAGCTCTGGGTAAGCACAGTCCTGACCGAGGACTGTCCCCAGGACACCTCCCGGACAGACACTCCAACGGGGCAGCTCAAAATGTGACTCAATGTGGTGGGTGTGCAAGCAGATGAAATTTCTTTTCCTGAAGGTAAATCTGGCCATAGTCACTCACATTTCTCTCGTGTCACCATTGGTTTACTTGCTTCGGCGGCTTACCCAACACGACAACAAAAGAGAATGACACAAGGCCGGGCGCTGTGGCTCACGCCTGTAATCCTAGCTCTTGGGAGGCTGAGGCGGGCAGATTGCTCAAGGTCAGGAGTTCAAAACCAGCCTGAGCAAGAGAGAGCCCGTTTCTACCAAAAACAGAAAAACTAGCCGGGCATGGTGGCGCATGCCTGTAGTCCCAGCTACTCGGGAGGCTGAGGCAGGAGGATCGTTCAAGGTCAGGAGTTTAAGACCAGCTTGAGCAAGAGCGAGACCCCATCTCTACTATAAATAGAAATAAATTAATTAACCAACTAAAAATATATAGAAAAAATTAGCCGGGCATGGTGGCGCATGCCTGTAGTCCCAGCTACTCGGGAGGCTGAGGCAGGAGGATTGCTTGAGCCCAGGAGTTTGAGGTTGCTATGAGCTAGGCTGACGCCACGGCACTCACTCTAGCCTGGACAACAAAGTCAGACTCTGTCTCAAAAAAAAAAAAAAAAAAAAAAAAAGAGAGAATGACACAGAACGTGGAACAGTCAGAAGGAGAAAGCAAAGTGCCACTATCTCAGACGGGTCCACGCCACACCTGGGGGAAACACGAGACAGTCAAATGGAAACACGAGAAAGAGCCAGTGATTCTGGGGGAAGGGCTGGGCACGCAAGCCCCGAGTGGAGTCGACAGCCTTTCTACACACGCACGACACACGCCACCCCCAGCATGAACTTGGGAAGGAACATAAATCAGTGTGAAGCATTTCGAATACTAGAAAGTGGAGGCCGGGCGTGGTGGCTCACGCCTGTGATCCTAGCGCTCTGGGAGGCTGAGGCAGGAGGATCGTTCAAGGTCAGGAGTTTAAGACCAGCTTGAGCAAGAGCGAGACCCCATCTCTACTATAAATAGAAATAAATTAATTAACCAACTAAAAATATATAGAAAAAATTAGCCGGGCACCGTGGCCCATGCCTGTAGTCCCAGCTACTCGGGAGGCTGAGGCAGGAGGATCACTTGAGCCCAGGAGTTGGAGGTTGCTGTGAGCTAGGCTGAGGCCACAGTGCTCACTCTAGCCCGGGCAACAGAGCAAGACTCTGTCTCGAAAAAAAAAAAAAAAAGAAGAAGCAAGCATATGTTAATTAGCTCGATTTAGCCATTCCAACAAAACATCATATTGTACACCATAAATATATATGATTTTTGTCTACAAAATAAATAATTTTTAAATGCATTCATTAAAGAATTGAGACCCTTCTCATAAAAATTAATAGAACATAAAATAAACATGATAAAATGGGCTATGAATTCAGTAGAAATTACTCTGACAGTGAGATGCAAATTGCAGCAAAACTTTGAAACTACATGAGTAGTAAAATTTATTAAGAAAACGAAATGCATTTCTGTCTCTGGGTTTTGTTTTTTTTTTTTGAGACAGACAGTCCTCCACTTTGGTTCTGCCCAGGCCTAGCAGTGAGTGCTGTCTGGCCGTCACGCCTCACCTCACAAGCAACCTCAAACTCCCTGGGCGGCTCAAACAGCGATCCTCCTGCCTCAGCCTCCCGAGTAGCTGGGACCTGCCACAGGCATGCCAC